ACGGCCGCGTCCTCTCCTCCCGGCAGAGCCCTCCTAACTTCCTGCGGGCGTCCGCGCTGGCGGAGCACGTGAAGCCGGTGGTCGTCATCCCTGAGGAAGCGCCCGAGGACGAGGAGCCGGAGATGCTGATTGAGATCGGCACGGCCCCTGCCGCGGAGCAGCAGGTGGGACCCAGGCAGTGGGACCTGGATAGCAGGAACCAGGCAGCGGGCCCTGGGTGGCAGGCCCTGAGTGGCAAGACCCAGGTGGTGGGAGCTAGGCAGTGGGACCTGGGCAGTGGGACCTGGGCGGCAGGAACTGTGTGGCAGGACATGGGCAGTGGGACCTGTGACGGGACATGGACAGTGGGACCTGGGTGGCAAGACCCAAGTGGTGGGCCCTGAGTGGCAAGACCCAAGTGGTGGGAGCAAGGAGGTGGGACCTGGGCAGTGGGACCCCGGCGGCAGGAACTGGGTGGTGGGACTGGGCAGTGGGAGCAAGGTGGCAGGAACTGTGTGCCAGGACCTGGGTGGTGGGGCCCAGGCGATGGGACCTGGATAGCAGGACCCAGGCGGTGGGCCCTGAGCGCGGGGGCCTGGGTCGTGGGCCCTGGGTAGCATCACCCAGGTGGTGGGAGCAAGGTGGTGGGACCTAGGTGGTGGGACTGGGCAGTGGGAGCAAGGTGGCAGGAACTGTGTGCCAGGACCTGGGTGGTGGGGCCCAGGCGATGGGACCTGGACCAGGTGGTGGGACCTGGGCAGTAGGACCCAGGCAGCAGGACCTGGGTGGTAGGACCAAGGCGGCAGGAACCGTGTGGCAGGACCTGGGCAGTGGGACCCATGGTGAGATCTACAGTGGGACCTGGGTGGTGGGACCCAGGCGATGGGACCTGGATAGCAGGACCCAGGCGGTGGGACGTGGGTGGTAGGACCAAGGTGGCAGGACCTGAGTGGTGGGACCCATGGTGGGACCTGGACAGTAGGACCTGCAGTGGGACATGGGGAGCAGGACCCATGGCAGGAGGCCAAGCCAGTGCCCTCTGCCTTCCCCAGGTCACCTCAGATATATTCGAGCAAACCTTTGGGCCGCCCAACGGCATTCGCGACGACAGGTAAGGGCGGGCTGGCGGGGGGCGGTG